CTACAAGTTATCTTTCTCCAGGCACTCACATTCCAAATGCATTGACTCCCCCTCTCCAGGAACTACACAAATGTCACATGGGAAAAGGGATACAATTGTCCATAAAAAGGTATCAATTTACTTCTAATACAAAGCATCTATTAGTACAAACTTTTATCATTCATCATATTTTCTTTAGAACACAACCTGTATTTTAATTACTCCTAAGAGCATCAGTGTGTTCATGCTGAATCAGGAGGATCCTCCTGGTCTCTTTCTCCTTTGACCTCTGATACAGACACAAGTAATCTGCCTGATGCATTTTTATTAAGGGCCTAGAAAACAGTTCCTCCCTGCTAATCTGCCTGATGCATTTTTATTAAGGGCCTAGAAGACAGTTCCTCCCTGATACCCAGAGAAGGATGGCCAGGAGAGTTATAGTTGTTTAACATTTATTTTCACACTGCCTATTAAGCACATTACATAAGATATTATAAAACTCTATTGTCTACACCAGGAGGGTCCATACAGACCAAGTAGGGGGGACGTGGTGGTGGAGACTAATACACTGTAGAGACAAACCCTAATCTTAACATGTTCCCTGGGAGCAGTAAATTAAGATCTAGATTGTGCCTTTATGACCAGCCTGGAGCAAGAGATGATGGTTTAGCTGCACACCCCAAGAAAAGCCTGCAGACATGTGATTCCTCAGAGACACGGCACAGTTCCCTCATTGCTGCTCTCGTATGCCAGAGGAGTAGTGTCTTGCTGCACCCAATCGACAGCATTCTCTGCTGGATCAGTAGTGCTGTAGGTTGGGAAAATATCTTCCCTGGTATGCCCTTCCCTTCTCCACCTGAGGGGGGAAGGGAAGGGCATACCAGGGAAGATAAAGTTCAAAGTCTCAGTGTTTCAAATGTATGTTGCTTTCTCTCCATTTGTCTTGGAATTGCCATTCTGGATCAGCCTGGGGGTATGTCTAGTCTAGAATCCTGTTTCCCTTGCATAGGTGTATAGTCTGTCACAATCTAATCCTAAATGTGGAACTTCTGCTAACAAGGAGCA